CTATTCTATTCTATTCTATTCTATTATTATTTTCTTTTCTATTATATTCTATAAAGCAACAACTGAGACTTAAGTCTCTAAAACAATGTTATCCGAAACTCATAGTATAGAGGAAATTTATTTTGAACTTTATTTTTATAGACTTAATGTCTAAAAATGGTAATTTAAAAACAATTTGGTTCATCACTGAAGGAGCCATCAGGTTCTTAGGTCTAGTAATGTCTGAATGATCTAAGACTGAGTTGTTTCAAGAACTGTGTGTGCCTGCATATGATGTTTTTAGAAGTTTTAGGACAACCGCCATCAGAACACATAAAAACTGTTTTAGAGGTTGTATTATCTGGCCATAATTAACGAAAATGAGACAGTAATTTTCATATTAGTACAATTCTGAGCTTTTTTGTCTCCCTATAGTCAATGGCAGTGATTCCCTGATAAGTTTGCTTAAGAATAAAATATCACTGGGCTATCAGATATGGGCTGCAAAGATATGGGCAACCTCCAAAAGACACAGAAAACCTAAATTCTTTGCTGCCATCTCCTGGATATCCAGATTTTTTTCAAAAGCTCTAGATCAGTGGTTCCCAACATAGGGCCAATTTGATTTTTAATGGGGGCAATTTGAACCTTGTTTAAACCAAGTTAATGGCCTTTTAGGCTTCCTCTGTGTGAGTAGAGTTCACTTTTTGAGTAAAGTAAGAATTATAGGTCACAGAGGGGGCATCAGGATTTTAAAGATGCTTAGGTGGGGCATGGCCAAAAAAGGTGGGGAACCTCTGCTCTAGATATATACAGCAAACCAACATTATTTAAGTGAGAAAGGCTGGGTTAAACAGTGTTATTTCCCAATGATGGCACAATTCCAACATGAATTTTGATTGACAGTGTCCTAAAGAGCCTTTTCATCTCTTGCAGGATAATTTGTTTTTCTAGACAATCATCAATGCTGGATAAATTTCAATTGGGGGGGGGGGGAGGGGGAATCTCCCCCCCAAAAAAATATGAACCATCAAACCAATAGTAGGATAAACCATGACATTCAAGTTGACCAAGCCTATAAAAGGGCGATAACTGGACTGATAATGGCGCTTGCTCAGTGACAACAACCAAACTAGACTTCTTATATAGTGGTATCTCGGTACTCAACTGTATTGAAACTCATCAAATATGGTACTCAACACATTTGACGTGAAGATTTTGTCCTGGTACTCATTATTTGTTTGGTACCCAATGCCCAATGAACTTGGAATCAGCTGCTTTGTGACTCACTACATTATTCCTTAAGGGAAATTTTTGTTTGGTATTCATCATTTTTGGTACTCTTCGCATCTCCTGAAACCAATGAACGATGACTACTGAAGTACCACTGTATTAGAATTGATTGTACCTACCTCATTCCTTAGAGCAGGGGTGTCAAACTCACGTCATCATGGCGTTGTCAGGTGATATATCGTGACTTTTTCCCTCTTTGCTAAACCGGGCATGGACGTGGCCAGTGCATGGCGCATCTGGCCCACAGGTCGTGAGTTTGACACCCCTGCCTTAAAGGATCTTTGTACAAATAGTCCTTTTCTTTGTATCTTGTTGATAAAGGCTTAAAAAGGAAAACACGAAGGATCTCTCTACCCTCATCATATATTATCCCAGGATTGGTCCCCCAAATGTTCATTAAGTAACAATGGTGATGACTGCAGTGATATGAAGGATAGATAGCAATGGAGAAGAAAGCAGAAAGGATAAATACTAATTATTCCCCTAGAGATTTACAGCTTGTGTTTATTGAGACTGGAGCTGTTTCTTGCTTCTCCTGATAAAAGGGCTTTTTCCTTCCAAGTTCTGATGGAAGCTGCTGCCCACCAAATTACAATGTAAAGCAAGAAAATTGGAGAAGGAAATACAAGCCACAGAGGTCAACTTTGCATTAATAAGCAGGCATAGAATTGATCCTCCAGAAATAGGAGCGAGCGCTGCTCTCCACCGTTACTAATCACCTCCTTACTGAAATCTTTATTGAGATAAAAAATAAAAAATCTTCTGTGAGCCCTAAGTTTGCTTTCTTAAGGAATACTTCAGAGGGATTCGTGTGCCTTTCTCCATCCCGAGTCAGTTATTTGCTTCTGTGCATGAACACACAAATATAAACACAAACATACACACACACGAAAACGATAGATGTGCAAAAAAAAAAATTCATCTGCAAGAAAAATTAAGCTATGTTTTCAAAAGTACTATTGGTGGGGACCTGCAGCGAACAGGGAAATGATGCCAAATCATTGAATCATATGGCTAGAAGGGATCTTGGAGGTCTTCTAGTCCAACCCCTTGCCCTTGGCAGGAGACCTTCTACCATCCCAGACAAATGATTGTCCAGTCTTTTCTTGAAAACGTCCAAGGATGGTGCACGCACAACTCCAGGAGGCAAGTTGTTCCATTGGTTAATTGTTAATGTCAGGAAGTTTCTCCTTAATTCTAGGTTGTATCTTTCTTTGATAAGCTTCCATCCATTGCTTTTTTTTTGTCCTGTTCTCAGGAGCTTTGGGGAATAAGTGGACCCTGTCTTCTCTCTGGCAGCCCCTCAAGTATCAGAACACCGCTATCATGTCACCCAATTTTTTCTTCATTACATTGGACATACCTAGCTTTCTTAGTCTTTCCTCATACAATTCATCCTGCAAACCCCTTATCATCTTAGTTGCTCTTCTCTGCACTCCTTCTAGAATCTCATCCTCTTTTTTGTATTGTGGTCACCAGAATTGGACCAAGGGAAGGCTTTTAGGCATGGGGATGGGCCAAGGATTTTGTCCCATAATTGTATAAAATATGTGTGTGTGTGTGTGTGTCTGTGTGTGTATCTGTGTGTGTGTGTGTGTGTTCCAGCATAACTCCGGAATTCCTTGAGCAATTTAACCAACCAGTAGCCTCCCATCGGTAGCCTCCCATCGCCCAGTGCAATCCTACAGAGTTGGCCTCTTCAGGGTGCCGTTGGCCAGACAGAAGGGGGAGAGCCTTCTCTGTGGGAGCGCCTTCCCTCTGGAATGAGCTGCCCCCAGAGCTTCGTATAATCCCCGACCTCCGGTCCTTCCAAGGCACCCTAAAAAGTTGGCTTTTCCAGCAAGCCAGCCTGTCCTGAACAAAAACAAAATAAATTATTGATCATGTTAATTTTAATTTTTTAAAAAAAATGTCATTGTCAATTTTAATTGGGTTTGGGATATTATGTTTAATTTTTTTTAACTTTTGTATTATGTGTTTCTTTTAATGTTGTACGCCGCCCTGAGTCCTTGGGAGG